CACTGGACAGTCACCCCTACAGTGACAGGCAGCCCCCACTCCCCATCCCCGCTCAGCCTCGACACCCGGGGCGCGCCGGCTTTCCTCTCGGCTATGGAGGGGACCTTATGCACTCCCCCCGGGCACCTTCGATTTCGTGCTCGCCGGCCCCACGTTGCGCGAAATCGATGAGGGGAGAAAATGCCTGCACCGGCGGACCGCCGGGCGGCACAGAGAGGCCAGGCCCGGTTCTTCTGCTGCAGCCCATTCTGTTGCCTGTTCTCCTCGAGCTGGCAGTGGGGGATTGGAAGAAAGTGCTGTCAGTCAAGGCGGGACTAGCGCTCTCTGGTCCAATCGGACGCCTTGATTGCAAATGCTCGATTATCCCGTCGTCCGATGAGAGAACTTAATTTTTGTGGCCGTTTCAAAGCTAATTAGCGTGCTAAGGCAGCATTCCTTTTGTTTTGCCTGCCGCCGGGAAAGGGCCCTCTGGATTAGGGCTGACCGTGCTGACGACCAGCACATCCCCGTTCCCTCCTCCCCGTCCCCTCTCTCCCTCGTGTTTTAAAAGATAAAAATCGTTAGAGGTTGACTAGAGGAGTAATCGAGGACATTTTTGTGAGGCCGAGCGTAGCAGCCAAGGTGTATGCTGGGAATTTCAGCGCCGGATTCCAGCTCGGAGACTAATTTGGTTTAATTAGGATGTGGCATCACAGTTCGGCGGGTGAGTTGGAGGTGGAGGGAGCCCGTGCCCCTCACCACCCCCCCTCCCCGAACCTCGGCTCATGAAAGGGCTCCTGGAAATGAAGTTTGCATTGATGTGTCAGCGGGCTCCTGAAGTGTGATAGCTGCGAGTGCCGGGGAGATTTATTTGAGTTCTGCCGCTTTAATCCTCCCGCTGCCCTGGGGCTGTCCGCTCTCACATCCTTTCCAGTCTCAGGTAGATTCTAATCTGTGGGGATTTTTGTTTTTATTTTTTCCCCCACGGCTGAGTCTCCGACAGCGATGCTGAAAAACGATGGCCGGCTGTGCCTTCAGAAAGCCCTTCATGGAGGGGCTGTTTAACCCTGTGGGGGGTGGGGGGGGGCTTTTTTAAACGAGCACGGGCCGTGGATTGTGACTCGGTCTACTTTACCAGTAGTAAAAATAATTTAAATTTGTATGCACCGCTTTCCAGCAAGGTTACCCCGGAGATAAACAGAAGTGTGGCAGCGTGAACGGCATTGCGGATGGATTTGTACAGACAGTTATACTGTAATGTTTTGTAATTTGTTATGAACTGTCTAAAGGCTGGGGGCTTCCTGGGAGGACAGCCAGAGGAAAATGGGGTGGGGGTGTGGGAGGGTCTCTGATGCCAGCCAGCTGGCCAACCTTCCAGATGCAAGCGTTGCCCTTAGGAGCTGGGGGGGGGGGGTGTGCACGTCCCGGCACGGCAGCCGGAGGGTGGAGGTTCCCAGGGCTGCAGCGGATGCTTTGTATGTCGTTTTGGATAAATTGAGAAAGCCGGGTCAGGTAGTTCCTGGAGCAATAGGGGGTTACGGGCCTCTCTGTGACATCACTCTGCCTCTCTGTGACATCACTCTGCCTCTGTGAAATCCTTACCTGCTGAGCCTGAGCTGTTGCTCAGACGTGGGTTCGAATCTGTTCAGGAATCTTGGTGGGTAGTATAGTGACCGATGTTGCGGTACAGATTTTCATAAGAACACAAATGTGATAAGTGGCCCCAATAGTATTATTTAAGGTTAGAATGTAATGTTGGGTCTTCCTGCGATTTAAATGCGGAGGCCAAGGGGCATTTCCCTCCTCTGCTGCCAGATGGTTCCATAGCCTCAGCACCGGTGACATGGCAGCCAACGGTTCTGTTTATTCTGGGAATTACAGGCGACCCGCGCCATGCAGTCCAGATTGCGCCCGTTAATCGGTCCGTTTTGGGAAGCAGGGGCCGTGACCTTTTCAGCGCCTCGTGAGCACGGAGCAGAGTCTGGAATTCTGTCTTGAACTTAGCGGGATGTCAGACACGTCGCGGGCTCTCTTCGCTGTCATCTTCCAGCTCCACGTGTGGATCCTTCTCTGGAGCTTTGAGTTTGCGACGCCACGGGAGGTCGGATCTGCCGCGGACGGGCGCGCGCTCGTTCCCCTGTGTCTCATGGTAAGAAACCGCCTCCGGTTTGCAGTACTCCACAACCGGAGGGTGTGGAATTAACGTCAAGCGGCAGACAGGTCTGGCTAAACGGTGCCTGACATTGTGAGCTATTTTGGCAAAGTGAAGGAGCCAACTGGCGCTGTGTTTATGTGTTTACACCTTAGCCTCTGAGTGATAACCTGTTTCTTCGGGGATTAGACACGTTGTGTTCACTCGATGGTTTAATTTGCTTTCCTGGTTTTCTGATACACTGTCATTAAGCCTGATCGAACTGGCACATGAAAGGACAAGTAGTTGTTTTTCTTTTCGAATTTGCTTTTCCCTTTTATTTATTAGATGAAAACGACTCAAATGGCGTCTTGTGATCTAGACTCGACTCAAGGATGGATGTTAAACTTTTAAATGTGCCTATTCCAATATTAATGAATATATCAAAAACTCCAAGTGCTGTAGTTTTGTCTGAACAGACAAGTCAGGAGATGGGAGGATTCCACAGTCTGCAGAAGAGCAGAATGGGGTCCTGGGGGTTGAACATTAACTGTATAGATGTGGGCAGTTCAAATATTAAACATTTCTGCCTCAAAGCAGAGGGACTGCAGGATTTGGCTTGTAAAGTTTCATTAAAGATGGCTGCCGTGCCTCTCTCCGTACCCGGAGGTAATGGGCGTTTTCAAAACATTAAGGACATCGGGTGGGATTTTGGCAAGGGGGGGGCTCAATGCTAGACTCCAGTGATCCGTCAGAGGTCACCGTCTGTGATTGATGGGTGCAGACACCCAACGGTGAATTCGATAACCTCATCACTGAGCACTTTAAGTGGTCTTATAGAAGTGAAATTCTTCACGTTCTGGCACCTAGCGGAAGATTGGAGATTTAACCTTTGTGTGGGTATATTATTGTTTTGTTCTGGTATCCTTATGTCTGACTGGCTCTTCTCAGAGACCCTGGACCGCATGAAATGACACTGAAGCAAGAAAGTGTTCACCTTGATGCTGGATTGCAGCTGTAGTCGCATCAGTGCGTAAAAGGGTCTTCTGAGGTGGCAGCAGTGATTTCCTCTACTTCCTTCTATAGAAGTGGGGGTGTGGCCTCGTCCACAGCATATCGCCTCCACTGTCTCGCTTAGGACCCAATCAGGTTGATGCTTTAAGCTTTTTGTCACATTCCCTTTTCACTACCCATGATTGTTTGCAGCCTGTGCCAGTGTGGACAACCAAGCCAGAGGCCTCGTCGATGGGGAAAAAAAACATCCATTTGATGTCAAACCCTGGCTTTGTGGGGGGGGGGGGGGGGCATTTTAGTGAAGCACAGAACTATGGCAAATAGCATTTGTAGGATTCCCAACTGTCAGGTCGTCGGCAACCGTGAGCTTCTCCACGTGGGCTGAGGTGCTGCGGAGAGCTAAGCAGCCATTTTTAGGCTCGCTCGGTGACCTGTATGCAGGCATTTCATTTTCGGTTCTCGGAGCCGGGACTCGCGGCTGGGTGCCTCCGGTGTCGGTGCTGAACCGGAGACAGGCGGGCCTCCAGCCCGATCAGAAATAGCCGCGTGTTCTGGACAGAAACGGGCCGAGTCGATCTGGTCCTCGGCTTGTCGCCGCAGCACACGAACACCCTGACCTTCAGCTCGACTGTGTCTAACTGCTTGGCGGGGAGGATTCTGGCGGGGGGGGGGGCAGGCGGGCCGGCAGAACAGCCCACGCCTGGCGCGGACAGCAGGACTCGTGAAAGACCCCTGAGGGAGGACGCGACTCACAGCCGCTCGTCCTCCGTCTCGGTCGATAAATCCGTCCGGATCGGCTCGTGGGAGCGGGGACACTTTAGAACGATGGCCGCCTCCGGGTTCTCGCCTGTGACTTTGGCTGTCGTTTTTTTTCTTTCTCCCCCCCTTTGGTATTTGTATGACTGTAAATAAAGGAGGAGCCAGAATGACAGGAGAAATTTAGCCTTTCTGCTCTGATTC